CGTACACGTATATTCCACCTTATTATTAGACACCTATAAACAACTGTGTTTAAGGGCCAAGGTAACTACAGTGTCCAGAGTTGGCGCTAGTTGACACTTTTATCTTACACGCGGTGTGCAAGTTACAGCGTTACTCTCTCGTATCACCTGCAAGCTACTTTGTCTCTGATCCGCGGCTGGCTACTTTGAATCTCCGACAGTAATCAAGGTGTAACTGCAATGTGCTCGTATGCAAATGTGGACATAGGCTGAAGCAAGTTGTCGCACTCATGTGAATGGACCATTCTAGAAATCCCTACCCCATTGTAGTCATTGTTCGCGGAGCTGCCCTCAAGTTTTGAAAGATACTCCTGGCTCTCTCTCTCTCTCTCTCTCTCCTCTCTCTCCTCTCTCTCCTCTCTTTCTCTCTCTCTCTCTCTCTCTCTCTCTCTCTCTCCTCCTCTCTCTCTCTCTCTCTCTCTCTCTCTCTCTCCTCTCTCTCTCTCTCTCTCTCTCTCTCTCTCTCTCTTTCTGTCTCTGTCTCTTTTGCAGAGACTGCGACGATTACTCGTTGGCGCTTTAACGCGTTTCATGCGCGTATTTAATATAACGTCGTTCGATACGAGAATAATGCACCAAGAACGTCGGCCGAATAAATACGCACGGCAGTTGAAACTGTCATCATTAAAAACGTTTTAAATGACTTTTCCAAAAATGTACTCGTACTTCGCAGTACACTATCGGTAATTGTCGATTAGAGCCTCGATTTATGTTTCAATATTGCATCGTTTGCAAATTACGGCCAATAATTAATTTGCGTGACTAAAATTTCAAGTTGCATCGTTAAAATTTCTAGTTAGTACCGGGCGAGTCGACAATTTGTAATTAAATTTCTCCGTTAAAGGGATTTAATACGAAAAAGCATACTTTTCCCGTACACATACACACACACACACACATACACGCACGTTCCATTGTATATTCACACATATATATTTCCACGTTCTCAGGAAATTATATCCTCGTTTACTTTTCCACAGATCTTATCATCACGGTAACGTTCAATGGCGCTACTTTTATTCTGCAAGTTTATACCAATTAATGTAATTTGATGTAATGTGCGATTAAACGTGACGCTCTCAAAGTGCGTTCTATAAAAGATCGCAACGTACGTTAATGATTATATTTTTCTCAGAGCAACAGGAGCCAAGTTTATTATTCTTTCATGGAAAAATGTTCCATCGTGTCGCGAGATAGATACGGTACTTTGTGCGAAAAATAATCGTTCCTCTCAGCTTGACTGTTTGCGCAAAAACGCGAAGAAAGCCATCATACCTCGCGATGACATTTCGTGACGGCAGGTCATACGCGCGTGTATATATAAATATATAAATATATATATATATATATGTGTGTATATATATGGCGTGTATATAAAACACCTGCATCGCATGTGTGTATGTATGTGTATATATATACGAAATTAAAATTTATGGTGCAATATTCATAAAGACTTGCCCGAAAAGCAGAAGCGCTAAACCGCGTTTCACGCTTGGCGAGCGATACTCGCCGGCGCGGCGTTATTCATATTTGAGGGAAATGCGCTGACCGGCACGTATAAGAATCGCGAAATTGCTCGGCGACGGGATATCAATATGAATTTGCGATAACTCGCTCTCTTCTCCGCTAAGCCTCCGAGCCGGTTATTGCGGGCGAGCTAAACGCTCGCGCTTCGTCAACGGTGCATTCGGACAGATTCACTTAACGGTTATCCATAATACGTTTGACCCAGTAATACAATCCTCGTCGTGACGTAATATCCGTATACTCGATCGCGCCGGAGAGGATATAATTAATCACGAATGTTTATCGCGCCAAGTACGAGGCACGAGGAAGGCCTTTCCGGGATAAAGCAGCTGAGGCAGGGAAGACCGTATACCTGGGATCGAGGGAAAAGGAATATTGGACGGAGCTCACAGAGAGAGAGAGAGAGAGAGAGAGAGAGAGAGAGAGAGAGAGAGAGAGAGAGAGGAGAGGCGTGAGGAGCATTGCTGGTGGAGAGGAGAGAAAGGCGAAGGGGCGCCGGGGCAGGGGGCGGGAGGGGGCGAAAACAAAATAAAAGAGGAAAACCGCTGGCAATTTTTCACTAGCTTTTTAAAGCGCGGCTTAGGTACTCGTGGAGCGAGTTTGAATCGATTTTTCCAAAGAGGGGCACCGGCAGGAATGGGGGGCGGCTGAAGGGGTGGCGGCAGAGAAGCAGGAGGAGCAGGAGGAGGAGAAGCAGGAGGAGGAGGAGGAGCAGGAGGAGGAGGAGGAGAAAGAAGAGTAGGAGGGGGACAAAGAGGTGGAGGACGAGGAGGAGGAGGGGGGAGAGGGGCCCATTTTTCTGCCGTCTTCTTGTGCCAAGCGGCGCGAACTGTACCTACCTCCAGCTGTTTCGCTGTCGAGCACGGTTGTCGCTCGAAGGCCGAGTTTAGATTGGAATCTGAAATTTCGATACCCTCGCGCGCGCGCGCGCGCACACGCAGCATACACACGTACGGCGATTTCCTCTTTTTTATCCCCCTCTCCGCCCTCTGCCTCTTTACCTCGCCGCAGCCGTCACCGGTACCGCCGTCGAGCAAACGCTCGTGAAGTTTCGCGGGCGAGTAGAGGTGCATGCATCTGCATGAGCCAAGAATAAATCAGGATGCGAAATCCGAATGGAGATTTCTTGCCGCGCGAGAAACGGATACGAAGATCCATGCTGTGCGATAGAGAGCGGTTCTACCTACGATTTTTACGGATCGAGATTCTTAATCCGCGCGAGATACAGAGAGCGAGAGGGCAGAGGGGCGGGAGAGGGGGAGAGAGACAGATGATAAAGCGCGGCACGATGAATCGTTGTTAAACGTCGTAAATACGCTCGACCGGAGGAATATAAAAGCGACGAAATAAACGCCCGACGGGGGATGGGGCGGTGAGGGTTAGTTAGTAGCGGCACCTGCGCGCCGCGTTCTACGTCTTGTTCGCGCGCGCGTTGGCTGCATTTATTTAGTCCGCTTTCTTTCGCGCGGCCGTATCGCGCCGGGAAATCGCGATACTGTCCCTGACTTTCGTCACGTAAAATCACAGGGCGTAGCGTACTGGCTTGCAGATACAATCGATGTGGAGCGCGGGCTTACTGACACTTCGCATGCTCGCAAAATGTAAGCTCAATACGTTCCTTTTGTTTTGCTCCCGTAATTTCCTCGCGAAATCGAAGTTCCGCCGCTGATTATACCTATTCTTAGACTACCGCGAATCCCCTTGGCATGTGTATGCGGTAATTTGCTTTCGGCAGCGAGCGAGTAATTCTCATCATTCGATAATTCGCGAGCGTGGTCGCATTAACATTCCTCGGCGTTTGATATTTAACACGCGGCCTCTTTCTTTTTTCTCCTTTCCCTCCCCCTCCCCCTCCCCCTCAGCAAACTGCGTTATCCTAATTTCCACCCTCGTGCGCGAAGCGCATGCCCTCCGCGTCGTTCTGTTACTCGCGCGTTTGACGGCTGTTAATTGGACGTGTCAAGAATCAAACCTTGCAACATTCTTCATTATCAGATGAATTTTCCGTCCCAATTAGAACGCTTCAAAATTCTTCAGCATTTTATTACACCGCTCGCCGACGAGATGTGATATTTTCGCAAGAAAGGGAGACACGCGCGCGCGCGCACGCACGCAGAAGGGGAAAAAATGCGGCCTCGCCGTCCGTTATCAATCAGTGACGCTGGAAACTCGCGGAGGATTAATTACGCTCTCTAAATAGTATCTGCAGAGATGCGTAGGGCTGCCGCCGCCGCCGCCGTCGCATAAATGCAAGCGGCTTAATGTTACTGGCTCACCGATACAATCGATCAAGACTGCGGAGATTGACGCGACTTCACCCCTAGCTCGCAGCGACTAGCCCGACTTCGAAGGGTATCGGGGCTTGCGATATTATCGTCATGCATCTATCGACCGGCGAGTTTAACGGAGCGCAAGGTCGCAGGACTCGTGGTGGCTGCCGCGCGCGCGCGCGTGCGCGCGATCGCAGAGATATGCGTTATTATTGTTCGCGTCGGTGCATCGTGAAACGTCGGACGATGATGGAAACTCATAAAACAGCTCAGTTAGGACGAGAGGGCGAGGTCGTTAAAAGTGTAATAAACTCGCGAAGCCGGTTGATAAAACGAAATATTCCGGATTTCCTTCTATTGCAATTTCTGGGATTTGATTATGTCTATTTATCGTCAGCACTGACGTTTCCCGGGCCCGGAAGCGGCGGCGACGGCTCTCTCTCTCTCTCTCTCTCTCTCTCTCTCTCTCTCTCTCTCTCTCTCTCTCTCTCTCTCTCTCTCTCTCTCTCCCTCTCCCTCTCCCCCTACCTCCTGCAGCTTGATAATCCGCGGTTTTTATAAATTGCATTTCCGACGCCATTAAGATTGCGAACGATATCCGCGAGCGGTGCGTGGCGCGTGCGGCTCTTTTGCATAAATGTGTTATACCGGTTTTTCCGCTCGAACGCATGAGGCACATTTCAGCCGGTTAAATATTTCGCGCGGCACAAAAAGTTTCTTGCCATTGCATGTTCCGCGACTGATATTTTTTCACGGCTGTGAAAAACAGGGAACGTCAAACATGACCCTTCGCCGACCAAGATATTTAACGTTCCGTACTCCGCTCTGTACTCTTTTCTTTATCGAGCTAAACGATAAAGCATGCGCGCGTGCTATTTAAATATTTTCTTTAACCCGTGTATCCGGCGCGTACGCGTACGTTATTTATACACGCGTACGGAATTGCGTTTAGAAATTGAGCGCGCGCCACTTGTTTTTAATTGGGCCCAAATGGAAGGACGAACCCCGGGGTGTGCGTTAGGGGAATCTTTGTGAATCGAGGATGGCAGATAAAATTTCGTCTCCTTGGGAGATTGTTGGTGGCACCGCGTCATTATATTATCGTTCGTATAACACTAGCAGAACGGTAAGTCGTCTTTAATGAGCGAGATTAAGAGGACTTACGAGATCTCCCCAAAGACTGAGAACGCTTCCCTCAGGGTTTGTGTCTCGATCTCCGGACTCAGGTCCCCGACGAATATGTGATAGTGTTCTGAAACAGAAACGTCGAAAGGCGATTAGATAGATCCTGCGGAGGAGAGAGAAAAATGGCGACAAACTTTCCCGCCGTCGCGGGAATATTGCTGTCAAGCGTCCAATGAAAAATGCAGATAAGAATTCGCGAACTCTCGCTCGCGCTGGGACGCGCTCGCGCGCCCCGACGAGCGTCTAAAGCCGAGCGTGTTCATTTTCGCCGTGATGAATCGAAGAGCTGGCGGACTCGCGCGAGGAGGCGGCCAAGCGGGCTGAAGGCAAATCGGTTTTGTGCAGTATCATTGCGCGAAATCGATGTTTATAACCGTGACGCGCCCGTGCGGCACGAACAAACAACATCGCTCCGCTCTCTTGCTCTGAGAATATCTCTTCATTAAATTGTTAATGGACACATTCTTTCATCAGTAACGTCACGCCTCGGTCTGAAATATCGGGAGTAATACAAAGCGGATACTCTCGCCTGGAAAATTACTTTCACAGCGCGCGCGCGTGCGCGCGAGAGAGAGAGAGGAGAGAGAGAGAGAACACGCCGCTCGGGGCTCGCGCTAATCGAAGCTTCTTCATAATACACAAGATACGCGACCTCTAAGTTGTACACATGTGAAAATAACCCGACGGCGAATAGGAGAGGACGCTGATGGTTGCACACGCTTGTAATTGAATTATTTCCAACGTGAACACACACACACACACACATACTCACACACGCCGACACGGCGGCCGGCGGAAGGGAGGATGAGGGCGGAGATGAAGGGTGATAAATAATTATTAATCGCGGCTATTTCTGAACAAACCGCCGCCGACCGTGGAATATGTGAAGCGGCGAATAATTATGAACGATTAATTATTAATCACAGCCATTTTGTACGAGCGATCCGCGGCGCGGCATGTGGCGTGGGAATATGCGAATATCTGAAAATAACGACGAATTCTGAACGAACGCGCGCGCGAGCGATACCTTCCGCCGACAAAAGTTTCCGATAATTGGCACAGCGCGAGCGTACGGTGCGATTAGTTTTCGCCACGCCGGAGAAACGGTGAATTCGCGCACCTCAGGGACGCTCATTTGCGGGACAATGTCGCGCGTCTCGAGTAGCGCATCGCGCCGCGTCGAAATGCGCTCCCCTTCGTCCTTTCGTCGTGACTCGCCGCCGCGAATTTTCCAGCCGCGCGACTCCTGCGACGCCAGCTGGCCACGAGAACGCTTATTCTGCGAGAGATTGAATTATAAACGCCACGTATATATATAATCCGTTGGCAGGGGAGGAAGGAGGGGAATGCGTTTGTAGCGAGCAACGGGCGCTGCTTGCATATCGCCGCTGACCCGGACGCGAATTGAACACGCGACTCCGCTGCGAGAGTTATGAACATCTTTAATATGAAGTTACGTTATTCTCTCCCGGGAGGCGGTGCAGCGATATTTGCGCTTCTCCTAATGGGGAAGGCGCGGCGGAGGGGGAGGGGGCGAAATCGCCGATTTGCCATTGCCACGGCGCGGCCGTCCGCCGCGCGCGCGCGCGCGCGCGCGTGTGTGTTCCACGTTCGCTGAATATGCATCGCGCATTCCTCCGGCCGGGATCCGCGCTGTTCGTTTACCTCATCTCTAATTACGACACTCCGCCGCGCGCGTTTTAAGACGCGCGCGCGCGCGCTCTCTCTCTCTCTCTCTCTCTCTCTCCTCTTTATTTATTACGCGGCGCGGCGCTGACGCGCTAATTTGTCGATTACCTCAGCGCATCGGGCGCCGCGATGCCTCCCTCTGCCATGTGTACACCCCTCCTCCCCTGCCATTCTCCTTCCTTAATTACACGCGCCGTTTCGTGTTTCTTTTTTCCCTGGCCTCCCGTCCACCTCAGCGCCCATCCAACCATCCGCCTAGTCACCTCCCTCTCTCTCTGTCTCTCTCTCTCTCTCTCTCTCTCTCTCTCTCTCTCTCTCTCTCTCTCTCTCTCTGTCTCTCTCTCTCTGTCTCTCTCGCGCGCGCGCGCGAAAAGCCCGTCGTCGCTCGTCGCGCGATTCCACGATCAGATAGAACCGGTCGGATGAGTGCGGTGGTGGTGAAACGGTGTGCGAAGTAAGCTTTCGGGGGGATAAATTATCGATTCGCACACGGTCGTGCAGTCGAGTGCGAGTCGCGGCGCGTTTTGCGGTACAGCCTCGCTCGCTCGCATCGGCTCGATAAAATATGCTCCTTTTCTCTGCTTTCTCCCTCTCTCCCTCTCTCGTTTCACCTTTCCTACCAGTCTTCCAGCCCCAGCCAGTCAGCCAGCCAGCCAGCCAGCCAACCTACCTATCTACCTAGCTACCCACTCGCATTCACCGCCCGACCCGATACGGTTTCTTCCACACGCTGATTCGTAGGAATAGATCAAGACGAGTAGTCGAAAATCGAGTTACCGCCGGAAGGTCTCTAGCTGGGGCATCGGTTACCCCGAATGGAGAGTACGCCGCCGTTGGAAAGTATAGAACGGCCAAGTGGATGCCGGGAACGTGTCGAAAACGGAGGGTGGTCTGATTACAATCGCACCGATGGCCTATCCTCGGCCGTCGGAGCTTCCGGTGGGCACACAGCGGCGGTCCATTCTCGTGAATTAGTCCGATTCTCATCATCTTCCACCCCCGGTCGACGCCGGTCGATCCGCCGGCGAGCGAGCGATCGGTCGATACCGCGTCGCGTCGCGTCGCGACGGGATCTTGGCGCTGTTGCGATATCAACAGGAAATTGACGGAAGTTTATCTTGTGCCCAGCGGACTCGCGGCTCGAGACTCGCGCGCGATTGTCCCGTATATATCCCCAGCTTGGCGCCTCTTGGCAAGGACCACGGTCAGCTTTCGAATTTAAGATCGATTATTCAGATGAAATTGCCCCGGTGCTCGTCTTTAAATTGACACGTACTCGCTCTTCATTGGAGACAATGTGCGCTATACGTGTGTGTAACTCGAGTAGTAAAATGTTCATCGATCGCAGTCCCGCTCGCTAACGATCTCGCTCGCGCTTTGCTTCGCTTTGCGTGTCCGATCGCAGGAGGGATGTTTTCATTAAGCAAATATTGTGTTGAAACGGCCAGACTACGAAACGCCCCGCACTTGACACGATTCCTTTTCATTCGCGCGCATTTCTTGGTAGATTAAATTATCCGTGCGTTTTCCCCGTCTGCCCGAGTCTCTCTCTCTCTCTCTCTCTCTCTCTCTCTCTCTCTCTCTCTCTCTCTCTTTTTCTCGAGGTGAGCGTCGCGCATTCATGCAACACGGCCGAAGCAAAAAGAACGACGAACCTCTTTCTCCGTGAGTCGAGAGAGTCCAAATATCCATAATCTTGCGTCACGCGAGTGGTCTCGGGACTGGTTTGCTTTCAGCGAAATTTTGCGAAATCCATCGAACTCGATATCATCATCCGAGGCAGTAAATAGTTGGTTGGTAGCTCGATTCGACTTCGTAGGGCGGAAAGGTTTGTTGAAATATGGCCCGAGTGAATGCAGAAAGGGAGGGCGTAGCATGAAAAAGATGCCGGTATTAAAAGGATCTCGGATGATGACGTCACGCGTCACGGGCTCGCCCACCGTCTGGTGGTTAAAACGTGGCCCACGGTTTTCAATAAAGTGGGACTAATGGAGCGCCATTTATTATTGCATCTCTCTCTCTCTCTCTCTCTCTTTCCTCTCACCCTCCAGTTCACCCTCTGTCTCTCGCATTTTCACTTCCGTAGGCCGACCGACCGGCCGACAGGGACGGTGGTGATGGTGGTGGTGGTGGTTTCATTCCGCGCGCGCGGAACCGAGCGCGATATTTTCATCATCGTCAACGGCGGCAGTTGCGCGACAGTCGGGCGTAAACATCATTATTACACCACCGTCATCGTCATGATCGTGGCATATTGCCACATCGAAATGCCGATGTGTGTTATGAAATAAGGCCACTAAAGCTGCGCGATATGCTAGCAGCATCCACCACGTGTCGCTATACGCGCGCGCGCGCGCGCGTATATGCACGTCGCATGTTTACGACGTGTGTATGCGAGTTGTACGTGGGAGGACACGTTATCGTGAAAATATGCTGGAAAATGCGAGCTAATAATGAAGAAAGGTCGTTTAATTTTATATATGTGGCGTGTCGCTCGATTCTCGCTCTTTGCGAAATAAATTCCTTGTTTAATACCCGGCGTGTACGCCCCTCTCCCACCTCCCCCGCCGGCTAGGATCTTTTGTGTACCTCCCCGGCCGCGAACGGCCGGGGATCGCCTCCTGCCCGTTCAACATTCCGGGGATTGACGATTTTCCGCGACGTATTATGCGCGAGATATGTTTATATCGTATAATTTGAGCGTTCTACGTTAGAGAAAGATAACACGCGAGGGGTTGTGTAATGTATGTATGAATGGTGATACGCGGTCTACGTTATCTCGCGAATCTGCTGAAATCACAGCTAACTTGATATCGGAAACTCATTGATAAAATGAATTGTAATTTTCAATTAATAAGTGAAATTTATTCGCGATTGATTTTATAATCGCGGGGAGAAGCCAGATGAATCTTAAATCAAGCTATTATTGAATCAAGCAGCTAGCGAAATTTGAATTATTCCGCTGCGCTCCACGGTCAAATCCACTCACGCGCTCTACGTGACCCCGGCGGCTCTCCTTCGAATCTAGGGCACAACACGCACCGGTCGTCGTTCTTCTCTCACAATCCCGCTGCGTAGTCCTCGATTGCGCGGCAGAGAAAGAAGGAGAAAGAGAGGAGATCACTTTGCTGATCGAAATAATATACAAAATTGCATCCGAGTAGTACAAAATCTCGCGAGTTCGCAGCGCGAGTGGAAAACGCGTCGCCGTGTGTGAACGGGCGAAATAATTTCTTATAAAATTTCTGATAAAACGCGCCAAAATTCAAGCCAACTCTCTCAGTTTTTCGTGCGAGCGCGAGCAGCGAAGCGATAGTCGATTTGAATATATCCGCGCGGCCCGGTCGTCTCGCGTGACGATTTCGCGCAGGGTCACGC